GCGGTAGGAGGATAATTGAGAGTGGGAGCTGGCGCTTGAGGAGAGGGCTTTGACGATGTGCAGCAGCTCCGTGATCCTGGGGGTTGACAGAGCGCGGGCGGCTGTCAGTTCGGTCGTCTCATAGATGAACTCTTGCTCGGCGTCTTCGCCAATGGAGTCGTCCTGTTGGTCATGTTGGTCAAGCCTGCCGAAGCCCAGTGAGATCCGGTCGAGCTCAGCATCTAGCTGGCGGACTTGGCTAAGAAACGACCGGGTCAGTGGATCCGATCTTACGCAGACGACGTGGGCTAGGTACGCACTCTGTGGCGAAGGACATGGTGGCGGCGATAGCTCAGGTACGTAAGTAAGCCGAGTAGGCGGAGAGGCGAGCCAGGCTCTCACACCATTCCGCGAGGGAGATCCCGGCAAATCTAGTAGTGTGGAGGCCGCAGCTGCGAGGTGCCGAGAAGATGAAGACCCGGCCGAGGCTGGAGGACAGCTGCAGGCGACAAGGGTCAGGCGACGAAGGACGTTGGAAGTGAAGTGAGAGGATGAAGTCCAAGTCGACGTTGAGGTCAGAGGTTTTGCAAACAATGGACCCCAGCAACGGATGGAGCCTGGCTCAGCCTGAGCACCGAGCTTGGGCGGGCGACAGGCGGGAACAGCGTGGAGCTGAGCTGAGCTTCCAGCGCGGTGTGGTTGGCTGGCAGCTCCAGCAGTCCTGTGTGGCCTGGGCGAGACCTGATAACGTCATCAGCGAGCTGTTGGCAGAGGCACTGTGACACTGGAGACTGCGGGGGCAAGACAAGAGCAGGAGCTTGCGTGGGCTTAGTCAGGCCCCTCCGGCTGTTCATCGAAGCAACTTGACAGTGACAGGTACGAGCCCGCCCGAAGGACTGGTGGCCGGGACGGGATCGACGCCGATGCAGGGAGATGGGTATTTGAAAGATCCATGACGAAGCCTTATCCAGGGACATGTCGAGATGACTTGATTGCGAGATGGGATGATTGAGAAAAGGAGGAAAGTAGAAGGGAGGTCTGGTGTGATATTGACCGACTTGTCCGTGCTGCACGAGCACCATGCTCGCTTCAAGTTGATATTGACCAGAGGCCCGACATGTGGCCATCCAACGGCCGTAGTCAGCAAAAAACGACGGCTCATCGAACGTCACCGGAAGCTTCCAAGCCGCGCAGCTCCCCGCCCATCTCCCGCCCCAACCTTTCCAGTCGCCCACCAATCGTGACGAAACGAAAAGATTTGACAGACGCGGCCAGGTACGGACAGAAACAACACGCGATGTCGGCAGGGCATGAGCCGTTGCGTGGAGGGCCCAGGTCTGACAATGACACCACCTGTCAATCGCTCAACCGGCCGGGGATTGAAGATGGGCTGGTCCGTACGAGGCTCGGCCGGGCGTGCTGAACGATGGCCGGGGGATGCTGGCGCGCGATAGGCTGGATCTGATCGGCAATCTGGGTGAGAAGTCTGAGAAGACGCAGAAGAGTCGAAAGGTACGTACCTCGGGGGGGCGTGATCGAGCAAGCGTCGGCCCGTGATTTTGGCACCCCCTCCAATTTCGTATTCGTTTTTGGCGGGCTCCTGCCCATCACCGCCTTTCCCATTGCGATTTCTCCATCAACACCTGGGTCCCCCTCCCCCTTCTGCCCCCTTCTGTTCCCCTGAACGATGGCATGACGGGAGGGGCCATCGAGTCCCCGGGCCATGGTTTTCGGCATTTGGGGTTCAGAGTTGGGACGAATGTGGCGAGCATGCCCGGGCAGTCGGGCTTTGAGGGCGCCGGTCAACGGTTGGGTCTCCCAGATCGACAATTTCTGCCCCGAAGCCCCTGTTGCCCCTGAAGCCGAGAGCGCGTGTATGCTGGATGGTCTTTGCTATCTATGTACCAAAGCAAAGCCATGCTTCAAGCTGGTGTAGAAACATGATGCAACACCAAGTCGGTGTAGCCAAGCTCGAGCCATCTTCTCTTCCCTCACATCATGCCGATGCAATGACAACTTGAAGGCATTGACCGCATCAACCCAAACCAACTGGAAGACTCAGAACTTGACTGGCGTTGGCTTGAACCCCTCCACGCCACCAGCCGCCCGTGCGCGCAGGCGCGTTCCTGACGGGCAGTGCTGCACCAGGTTGCTGTTTTGGTGGGGGACTGCATCGGGTCACAGCGGGTCGGAAGCCCGGAAAGCCCATCTTGCAAGTGGGATCATGATCATGCCTGTCCTTCATTGGCCGCCTGGCGCATGAGCCGCCAGGGGGGGGTCTTCCCGCGTCTCTGTGACCGGGGTCCGCCAAGCAGGCGAAATTGATAAAACCTTGAGGGACCCCTTTCGCCTTATCGATGAAATAACACCCGCCTACCCTCTCTCCTCCAGAGTCTTCCAGTCACCCCTTTACATCCGGCCCATCTCCCAGGCCAACCCTTACATTCGACAGTTCGAGTTCGAGGCGACCTTCCATCCTGTCTTGCCCGGTTCCGCGCCCGGCCTCCTTACACTCCTTGCATCCCTCTCCTCCTCCAGAACAAACGTCGGTTTGGCGACAACAACACTCGCAGACATGGATTTCGGGTGAGCAACATCCTCCTCTCGGCTCTTCGCCCCCAGAACTGACGCGCCGTCCGCCTACAGAAACTCGACCCTCATCACCGCCGGCCTGAACGCCACCGGCCAGGACTACTTTGGTGTTTACGACGAAATCTCAAAGTACAATGTTCAGCTCAACACTTTCGAGCGCCTCTGGGCCGTACGTTCCTCTCCTTTCTCGGGCGAAGCCACGCATCCCGCGCGATCACCGCTGCGCCTCCGAAACAACATGCACTAACATCTACCTTTCTCCCAGGCTTGGTACCTCTGGATGCAGAACGACACCCTCGCCACCGGCATTCTGAGCTTTGTTATGCACGAGGTTGTCTACTTCGGCCGCTGCATCCCGTGGATCCTCCTCGACTTCATTCCCTACTTCCACAAGTACAAGATCCAGCCTGTGCGTGTTACCCGCCCTTGGTTCCCTCCTCGCGATGTCTAGAACATCCGCTAACGGCCCCCCAGCAAAAGATGCCGACTATGAAGGAGCAGTGGGAGTGCACCTACTACGTCCTCTTCTCCCACTTCACCGTCGAGCTTCCCCAGATCTGGCTCTTCCACCCCCTGGCCACCTGGTGCGGCATGGAGTTCGGTGTTCCCTTCCCTCCCGCCTGGAAGATTGCCATGCAGATCTCCATCTTCTTCGTCATGGAGGATACCTGGCACTACTGGTTCCACCGCCTGTTCCACTACGGCCCTCTCTACCGCTCCGTCCACAAGCTGCACCACTACTACTCGGCTCCCTTCGGTCTCGCCGCTGAGTACGCCAGCCCCATCGAAGTCATGGCTCTCGGCATGGGCATCGTCGGCTCGCCCATCCTCTGGGTCGCCGTCACCAAGGACATGCACCTTGTCACCATGTACCTCTGGATCGTCCTCCGCCTCTTCCAGGCCATCGACGCCCACTCCGGCTACGACTTCCCCTGGAGCCTGCGCCACTTCCTGCCCTTCTGGGCCGGTGCCGATCACCACGACCTGCACCACGAGAAGTTCATCGGCAACTACGCTTCCAGCTTCCGCTGGTGGGACTACATGCTCGACACCGAGGCCGGTCCCGAGGCCAACAAGAGGCGTCGCGAGAAGAAGATCAAGGCCATGAAGGCTGCCAAGCAGCAGTAAACTTGCTTGCCGTGGCGGGGTTCGCTCGATGCGCTCGGTACATACCGAGTATTCTGCGAGCCCAACACTTCGAAGTCCGCAACGACCTGTGGTCAAGCGGCTCATCCTGGCGGTCGGTGAAGAGGGCTGCGGGTCTCACGACCAGGCGCAGCCGGACAGCGCTGGGGTGTCTTTCAACACTGGCATAGACTTGCGTGTTTGGAGAGCATGACGAAAAATCGAATCATCGGGCCGGCGTTAGCAGAGAGGGGGCGAGCTATGCATCTTTTCCAGATCATGTACATATTCTTCCGGCGCTCGCCCGCCACGACATGCATGGGCTACAACCTATTAATACATTCTCTAATGACAACATATCACCCGGGCCACATGACGTGACGAGGTGCTTGATACTACTTCTGGCCGCAGCAGTTGCCTGAAGCAGCCGCCGCAGAGTCGGCGAGACCGCCCATGGTGCAGCTCGCTTCTGTCGCGCTCAGGGTCTCAGCCAGGGGCTCGATGACCTCACCGAAATCGCGGGCGAGCGCGTCGCATATGCTTGCCAGCGTGACGTCCATATCCGAGAGGCCTTGCGGGTTGTGTGTTGTCCAGCGGATGAACGTTGTGTTGTAGACCTGGTCAAAGTTAGATACATCCCCATGGCCAGGAGCTCATCTGCTCACGTTGGACCACTCGGGGTGGTGATTCTTGAGCTTGCATTGCAGGCTCACGGCGGTCATGAAGTCCTGCGATGGTGGTCAGGCATGTGATGCTGGGTAAAGGATGACGGAACCAACCCAGGTCTTTGCAAAGTTCTTGAACTTGAAGGACCTCTCCAGAGCCTCTCCCTCCTTGGTCAGCGCCCAGCGGCCACCGGACTGGCTGAGCAGCGGGCCCAATGCGGCCGTCAACGAAGCCTCATCGGAACCCTTGGAGAAGCGCGGCTGGGACGACATGGCGCGGATGGAGAGGGTGATGGGCGTTCGGGCGGCGCTGGTCCTGGCCAGGAGGGATGATATGAGAGCTGGGCGGAACATGTGCGATGTGGCCTAGATTCGATGACAAGGTGTGGTCGTTGGAGAAGGTGGGAGCTTCCTGGGCTTCAGGAGACACCACGCCACTGTGATGAAGTGAAATAACACGCACAGTACTGAGTGCACATTCGCTCGGTGCCAGCCGCCACAGACTGGAGCAGCACGGACGATATCTGGACGGGTCCGCTCTGCTGCGCACTGTCCATCGAGAGAGCCTCACATCCTGGCTGTAGGACACCATCCTTGCTCTAAGAGGAGCAAAATGAGGCGGCTTTGACATCCAAAATCGCCTCTGTGGCGCAATGGTAGCGCGTCGCCCTCCTATCTCTCCACGGGACAGGCGAAGGTTTAGGGTTCGAGCCCCTACTGAGGTTTCTCTTTTTTTGGGTTTGCAGCAGGTGCGAGATGCCTTTTTCCTGCCTGGCAGCCTCGTGCCCGGGTGCTTCGGGTGCTTGCAAGACAGCTCCCGGAATTCCTCGAGGCAGAAAGCTCTTGGCGATGAGTGATCAGGCAGACCTAAGTGTGATGACTGCCCCGCGTTTAGAGCTCCTGCACGCGACTGCCTGTGTCGCTTCAATTTGCAGCTGGAACTCCTCCCAGGTGGTGTACCAGAAAGGCTGCGAAACATGCCGTACCGGTACTTGCGAGAACAAGTGTGTCAGCGGTGAATTACATAATACTGCGGCTTTGTGGATTTGCACCGCTTCCGGCGGGATTACAAGGTATCTAATTGGCCAGAAATACAGCGGGCTCGAGTCTTACGGACTACGGCATTCTCATTCGCCGGCGTCGACTCGGCCGCGACAGCCGGGAAAGTACCTATACTTCCGACTCTACCTTCCTCAGTCGCGTCCCAGCGTCCCTCCTTCCCTCCTCGTGCCAGGCCCACTCTCCCACCTTCCAGCTGGCGTGCGCCCACTCCCCCCAACCCAAACTCCCCCCTCTCTTCCCATCCCAGTTTATAAGCAGGACGCGCAAAGTCATCAGTCATCATCCTCAACTCCCTCACCCTTCTCGTGCTGACTCAGATACGCCATTCAATCCAATCCATCATGCCCGCGAAGAGAAAGACGCAGCACCAGGACGAGGGCAACAAGTCTCCTGGTGTTGCGAATGTGCCCAGCGGTCAGCTTGCTTCCGGCGCTTCCTCTGGTGAGTCTGACCGATCGCGACGCCTTCTCTTTCTTCTGCTCCTCCGTCCATCATCATCATCAAACCCTCCGACCCTCTCATCACCATCGCCTTCGCGCTTACAAGCAGGCGGACGGGCGGCTCAGTCGGCGTCTGTCTGCTGCTTCATCACTCGTCTCTTACCTCCCCTGCCTTGACCTCTTTCCTTTCCTACGCGTCGACAGCTTGTTGTCATCTCTTCTTACGGCCGATTGTCGCGTCGCTCTACCTGCTGCTTCACGTCACGACGTGTCGCGCGCCCCTCAGTGCCTAACACGTAAAGCCAACCCTTTTAACCCTTAACCTCTATCGCTTGCTGTCCTCGGAATCATCAGTGTGGTTTCCACAGACAGCTACATCATCACCCGTTGTGCCCCTTGCATATTGTGCGACGCGGCGACCTCCCTCCCTCTCTCAATTATGCCCCTGGGCTTCTTCCCACTGTCCAAGACCAATTGCTGACAAACCCAACCCCCTTCTACAGTCGACGCTCGCATCCAAGAGCAGCTTCAGATCCTGAACAACAGTTCCGGCAACGTCTCTGCCCAGGCCTACGCTCGTAGTGCCACCTCGCAGGCCGACCAGCACGGCTCCGCTGCCCCGGCTCATGGCTTCGCCAACGGCGCCGTCTCTTCTGCCCCTGACGCCCTGGGCTCTATCGCCAGCAGCGACGAAGCTCACATCCACCCGGACCTGAGGGGCCGCAACTCCTACCCCTCCCCCATCCAGAGCACCATGCCTGCTCCTACTCAGCCTATTGTGCACGCCCAGCACCCTCAGCACGGCCTGCCTGTTCACCACACTCAGCCCGGTCAGCCCTCGACCCCTTCTGCTGCCCGCCTCGGCTCGCCCGGCCCCGGTGCTACCAGCCCCTCCGCCCTTCTTCCCCCTTCCATGCCTGGTCAGGAGCCCGACATCCCCGAGGAGGATACCACCATGACCGACTCTGCCCCCGTCGATGGTCGCAGGACCGTCAAGCGCGAGCTCTCTCAGTCTAAGCGGGCTGCCCAGAATCGCGCCGCGCAGGTACGTAACAACTCACATATCCAGCTCATCATAGACTTGCCATGCTGACGCCGCCCGCAGCGAGCATTCCGCCAGCGCAAGGAGGGATACATCAAGAAGCTCGAGCAGCAGGTCCGCGAGTATACGGAGCTCGACGCGACCTATAAGCAGATGCAGGCTGACAACTTCGCCTACCGCGAGTATGTCCTGCTTCTCCGATCGTGCCTCATGGACGCTCAGATCGAGTGCCCCCCGCCTCCTCCTGGTCTGAGCCTCGCCGCTATTCCTCACCCCGCCGGCCCTGGTGCTCAGGAGCCTCAGCCCATGGGCCCTCCTGTCTCTCACGGCCACCCCGCTCCTCAACCCGTCCAGGGCGGCCCCGCTGGCCCTGAGACCCACGTCCAGGAGCAACAGCACCAGATGGACCACCCCCGCGAGGGCGCTCCCCTCGACACTGTCGCCCAGGCCGTCGCTAGCCTCGCCGTCCAGGCTCAGCTCGCCAACAAGGAGTACGGCGCCGAGCACATCAAGCAGGACAGGCGTGACGACGACGACGCGCAGTCCCAGCTGCAGCATGACGCTCATGCCGCCCCCACTGCTTCCATGTAGGCATATGGATACGTGTAGTGTGGGCGCTATCGGGACGACGTGGAGGGTGTCAGTATGACAGGGAGGACTCGTCCCAGCCCCTCCCTTCTTCTTTTTTCCTTGTTTCCATCAGGGAGTCATCAGGCGTTTTGAGGTTTTCGAGGCAGAGAGCGGCGAGTGTACGGTCCCGCGGGACTGCCAGAACATCCTGATTGCTTTGATTTTGCTGCGCTTGAGGCATGGGTACCATGTGTTTTCAGAGGTGCGATTGGGGTCGCGGGCTCCGGCTTTTCCAGAGAGAGCGTGTGTCAGTACGGTAGACGGACAGGTCGGCTATTCCCCAGGCAGGCAGAGCAGTGACTTGCGAATTTCTCTTGCAGAATCACGTCGAGTGAGAATGTTGAATGAAGTGTTGTGAGACCGTCCAATTCAGGTCTGCCCTTGAAAGTGACATTTTGCATGGCGCCGTTTCCCGTCTCGAATACTATCTGAACAAGGCTCCTCCTCGTGCTCTCATATTTCCCTACTCCGAAAATCACGCCGGGGCACCCTGCCAGTCTATCATACACACGCTCACACGCCGTTGCCCAGATCATGCTCCTGTTGAGGTTCGTCAGTACGAGCTTCATCACGGGCCAGGAATGTGCGAGATTACACACCTTAAGATACTCTGACCCCTTCTCCGCGTACTCTTCCCTCGTGACGGTGGCTGCCTTCCAGGCCGAGGAGCCGCTCCACTGGGCAGCGCCGCGCCAGGCGTCGAGAAGGGGGTCCTTTGCGCTGCGGGTGCGCAAGGGGGCGCCAGCGGGCAGCAGAGCAGTCAGGCCGTCGCGGAGGCGCTGCTCAAAGTTGCGGAAGAGAGTGTTGCCGCCGGTAAGGAAGACGTCTCGCAAGAAGTCGTCCCTGTTGTCGAGACCGCCGAGGCGCTGGTTGAGAATATCACCGGCAATGTCGACAAGGCCTGACTGATCGACGCCGGCGATGGAGGGCTGGAAGACAACCTCTGGCACGCGGATACGCTCAACGTTGAGATGGATCTGGTTCAACTCGGCCTGCTTCGACGGGTCGAAGGGGCGAGGCCCGCGGGTGAAGGCGTGCAGCATGGACCGTGACCAGTCGAGCTTAGCCTCGTGAGTGTCCTCGTAGGCAAAGTCGGGGTCGTACTGGAGGAGCTCCTGCTCGTAGGCGCGCAGGTTGGCCTGCAGGTCCTCCTCCTCCTGCTCGTCGTCGCTGTTGTCGCCGACGCCAATGGTGCGGTAGACGCCCCAGTCATCGTCGTCGGCGCCAAAGTCGTCGTCCTCGCCGCCGCGACGGCGCTTGCGCGTGGGGGCGTCAGAGGCAAGGTTGGCAATGGTCTTCATGCGGTTCTGCGACGCCAGCGACTTGCGGTTGCCCAGGTCTTGCTTCAGGCGATCGCGCTCCTTCATCTTCTGGAGAGTATCTGCGCGGCGCTGACGGCGCTGGTCGAGCCAGCCCTCGAGGTCATTCTCGCGGCGCTCCACGTCGAGTCGCTTCTCCTCCTCGATGCGGGCCTTCTCGGCCTCCTTCTCAGCCTTGGCCCGCGCGCGCGCCTCGTGGCTGGCCTTCATGAGCTTCTGTTGCCGCTTGGCCTTGATTCCGGCCTCGTCGAGCTCTTCGTCGGGCACGTCGACGAGGTCAAACACAGGTGCCGCCTGCTGCTCCTCTTCGGCGTCACCGCCGACGTCCTTCTTACGCGCCTTCTTGACGGCGGCGTCGAGGATGCTGATAGTCTTGGCCAGTGCGGCCTCGTCCTTGAGATCCTCGCTGTCCAGGATGCGCTTGACCTCCTTCTTGTTGGTCTGGGCCTCGAGATTCTGCTGGACACCGCGCCAGTAGTTCAGCTCGTTTTCCTTGGCGATCAGCTTCTCGAGGCGCATCTTGGCGGCCTGCTCCTGCAAGCGGCGGCCGCTTTCCTTCTTGCGCTCGAGTATCCGAGCCTTCTCCTCTTCCGTCTTCTCCACGACGACCTCCTCGACGAAGGGGTACTGAATGACGATGTCGCGATCTTCGAGGCCGGACCAGTCGAGGTAGCTCCGGAGCTCGTTGTCGTAGTCGCTGGAGACATAGCAGTGGTCTCGCAGCATGTGTTCCGCCTGGGAGGGGTTCAGCTTGCCCGTGAAGGCAGGGTATTTTAGCCTGATGAGCTTGAGCAGGTACTCGGCAGCATGCCATCCGCCCCAGTTCAGTCTCGTGGCCTGTGCCAGCATGGGCTTCTGGTTGTAGACTGGGATGACGTGTGTAGACGTGTAGGAGGAGGAGACGATGAGGCCGGTGTTGCCCTTGTTGTAGCGGTATGAGAAGAGGGAATCGATGCCGTAGGCGACAGAAGGCGCGTTGTAGCATTCGAATAGTGTTTCCGTCATGGCTAGGAGACGTCAGCTCTGTCCGGTGTCTTGCTCTAGGGGAATCACCGACTCTTGCGGACGTAGGAGAAGTTTGCGACAGCCTCAGTCAGAACGACTGGCTTGTCGATTCCGCCCTCGGTGCCGTTGAGGCCGAGCTTGAGGAAGATGTAGTCCAGCACATGCTCCATGGTGTCCCAATTTGTGATGATGTTGGTGCCCTGCTCGAAGGCGTTCCTGATGTGTCC